TATATTTATATATAGGAGAATATGAGGTTAGAGCTATTTATTTCTAAAATTTACTCTTAATCTATTCTTAGCTAGAAAGATTAAGACCTCTAGGCTATGTTGTTGGAGTATATTTGATTATCAGTAGTAAATTCTTGTAGCTATTTTAAAAAATATGTTTGGGTTGGATAATGATCATAGTTGGGTTGGTGTAGCTTGTTGGTATTTGGTTATTTGAGTGGAATGTTTGTTAATTTTGTCAGCTATATTTTTATATCATTTCTTATACATTCTTTATTATTCTGTAATATAGCTCTGGTATGAAAGTCTTGTTGTTTGCTAAATTTTGAAAGGGCCCTAGTGTGCAGTCTCATATAATATCTAGAAGAAGTTGTTTACTAATATATATTTCAATAAAATTACTTATAAACAAGATAGTATTTGGGTTTGCTAGTTGATTTTTCTGGCTAATATCATTTATAGCTTGGGTTATAATGTGCTATTGGCTAGACATGTCAGTAGATATGAGATGTCTTCTACCAAGTTTGGGTACTTAGCACAGTAGGGGTTTGGGTATTTTTGTGGGTTTTTGTAATTTAGTATAGAGTGGATGAATAGTTTCTTTGTTATTAATTTCACTTTGAATGCCTTTAGATTTGCTTTTTTAGATTCTATGAATCTTTGTAGTGGTTTGTTTTTATAGTTTATTTGTTTGAGAATAAGTTTACAGTTAATGTCCTTGAACTGTTGCTAAATTTGAAATATCCTGTTTTGGTGAAGCCAGTTCATTCTTGCTTGATTTTTGATTATAGTTTTGGTGAGTCAGTATAGAAAGTAAGTACTCAGTGTGTTTAGAATGTTAGATATAAAAAAAGATTATATAATTGGGCTTGGGTCCAGATTAATTTGTAGTTTTAGTAATAAAGAATGTGCTTTGGGAGGTTTTTTGCTAGAGGAAGTAGGTGTGATTAATAATTTTTTTGCTGCTGTTACTATATATAATGCATTGTAGCTATTTGAAATTAGTTTTTCTGAATTGATAAGAGTTATATGTTTGAATCTCTAGATATTTGATTAGCTAAGTTAGGTTGGTGTTTATAGTTATATGTGCTTTAAGAGGGGCTATGACTAGAATAAAGATTATAGTCATAAGTATAGTGTGAGTTGGTAAGCACTAGTAGGTATTTGTAGTGATCTAAGTTTTTTTTTATTTAGTCGAAAGTTGCTTGTACTGCTAGACTATTTTGTATATTATTTGATTTGGTTAATGCTAATACATAGACTTGTAAGAAGTTAGTTTGTATAAATATTTTTCAGATCTTTTGTTGTGGTTAGTGAATATTTGAGATAGTCTGTAGTTAATACAATATGCTTGAGTTGGAAGGCTAACTAAAAGTTTGGTCTTTGCTATGTAACTAGGTTGGATTTTTGTAAATAAACTTGGTATGTGTGCATGAATTTGTTTTTTTTTGTTGACTTGAATGAGGTATAAAAGTTTTGTTGGTTGTCAGAATGTGCATTTTGCTTTTTTCAATACTTTGTTGTTTTGAATACAATTAGTACAATGATGTAGGGTTAGAGTTGTATGGTCTAGTTTGTAACATTGTATTATTGTATTATTGTTGTAGATGCTTGTAACTTTTTTAAAGATTTTGGATATGGTGATGATCCAGGTAGGTTTATTTGTTAGAATGTTTTTAAAAATAAATAGGCTGAAATAAACTAAATTTGTAAAGAGGTTAGCATTGTTTTTAATCAAACTTTGGACTATTTAAAACCATTTAGAAGTTTTGCCTCATGGTATTTTGTTAATATTGTGGTGAAATTGTTTTTATTCTAGTATGAGATTGTTGTATATATTAAGAAATTGCTTGATAAGTCCTATTTTGTATTTGTTAAAGTAAGTTTTAATAGATTGGGCCTGTTTGAGTTGGTTGATTGCTATATTAATTGATATGCCAAGGGTGTTAAGAGAAATAGGCCAGATATTAGTATATTGGGTGAGTATTATATTTAGGCTATATAGAGTCAAAATAGATTAAGTAGTATATATTCAGTTTTTATTAGATAAGAAAATAGGATTTTTAGTTAGGATTGATGAGTTGGTAAGTGCTGCATTTTAAAGTTGCTGAAGTCTGACTTTGAGAAATAGAAATAATTGTTCAAAGTTTGGTAAGTTTAGAGTGTGATTTAATATTTGAATATGTTGTTGTTGTTGTAATTGTATTAGTGTTTTTAGGGTGTATATGTCAGGATAGTATATTGTTGAGTTTGGGACTGATTTTGCTAGTTGTTTTTAAAGAACTGTGTTGGGTGCAAATATGTATATTGCAGTTGATATGCTATGCGGGTAAGTATGATATTATTGATGATATAGACTGATTGTTTTGGTGTTATTTTAGCATAGCGTAGTCTGTTTATATTGTTTTTTATTTCTTTTAGAATGTGCTTCTACACTGGTTTCTGTGAGAAATTATGTAAAAATCATGTTTCCAGGTGTCAGAAGACTTCTTTTAGTTGTGTATAGTGTTGCCAAAAAAGTTAATTGAGAGGTTGGGATTGTTGTTATTTATTATTAATATGGACTTGTTTGGGTTGACTGTTATATTAGTGTACTTTAGAAAAGAGCTTGTAATATTCAAAATTTTCTGTAGTTGTGTTTTGCTTTGAGCTATCTATACTGTATCATCTATAAATGCTATTACTGAGATATAGTATTTGATTTCTTCTCTAGGTGAATTTATTTGTATTGTTTAACCTGAGATTTGTTTGCTGCCTCTGAATATAAAAGGATTATTGTAGATATGCCACAAGATAGAAGAAATCATTTCACCCTGGTTAATCTTATCTTGTATATTGTAGGGTGTTGTAAGTCCATAGTCCGTGATTACTTGGTTTTGTTATTAGGTAAATATTGATATAAATAGATTTATGATTGATTGTAGTATACATATTCACTTTAGTGCTAGGCTAAGAAGTGGAATATATATAGTATCATATGCTTTAGATATGTTTTGGGCTAGAATCTAGTAGAGTTTGTTGTTGATATTGCTATCCTCTAGTATGTATAAGATTGTTAGTATGAGATCAAAAGTCAAGGTATGTGGTAATATAACATTATTGTTAAAAGAGAGGATATTGTATTTGAGAAGGATTGTGTTAAAGCATTGTGTAATTATTTTTGTAAAGATCTTTCTTGTATGCTCAATTAGAGTAACAGGCCTAGTATAGTTGAGATTATGGTTAAATGTCTGCTTTTTCAGGATAGGCTATATGTTGGCTTTTAATCATAGAGTTGGGAGGGTTTCAAGTTTGAGACATGTATTGAAGATTTGAAGTAGAGCCATTTTGCTATTGATGTTTAGATTTTGTAGTATTTCATTTGCTATGCCAATAGGTTCAGGGGCCTTTGCATGTGGTACATTGTTTAGGATATGGTTTAGCTTCTGTAGATCGATTGGTTTCATCAAAAGGTCATAAATTTGCAAAGGAAGATATGTTTGGGGTTAATAGAACTCTGTCTATTCTGCTGTATACTGGCTGTTAAACAGGTTGTATTTTGTCTAGTTTTAAAAATGGGTTGCTTGTTTAATGTTTTGTGGTTCATTTAGGATTTAATTGTTGGTAACTACTTTGTTAAAGTTTATTTTTTTTGTATATCAGTATAAGACATTATCGATCATGCATGTGGTGTTGCTTTGAAAATCTTCATAGCATCTATTGATAAAGTATTAGATTTTATCTTTCTGGGCTTGTGCTATTTTAATTTTTCTTGTATACCAAATTGTTTTGGCTAACTCTTTAAGCTGTTGAAATATGGTAGTAGTAGTGGTTGGATTAGGAGTAAGGGCTAGAATTGGCTATGGGAGTAGTGAGAAAGCTTTCTCTACTTTGGTGTTGATGGTTTGTAGTGAGTATTACATGGAGGTTGGGGAGTGTGTGTTTTTGCAGAGATGTATTGTACTATTAATATGCCTTAAAGCAGTGTAAAGTTTGGTTGCTTGTAAGATGTGGATATGGAAAGTCCTAGAGGTGGTGTATACAACTAGTACGTATGTATTTGCTACTTTTAGAACCATGTTTGCAAAAGTATTCTATCTTTTGTTAAGGATGGTTTGGTCATTTATGGGTATTTAAATATAATTGTGCGGTATTGTTTTGTCTATATATTTAGAAAATTTCTGCCAATTTTTCTTTGTTATATATTGGTATAAGAAAATTTTCTTTTGTTTTTTCTTTGTGTATCTTTTGAAAACTGAAGGTTTGTGTAACATGTTGTAGCAATTATTATATGATTGCTGTCTGATATACCTTTTGTATCAAGTAGTTGTAGGGTATTGAATTGTAAAATTATCTCTGTGTTTGTCTAAATATTATCTATCTGACTATATAGGTTTCTACAGTGCCAAGTGAGTGTTGTAATAAAGTGAAAGTTAAGTAAACTTGTCATTGAAGCACTATTAAGTATATTAAAAATTGAGTTTTGTTTTGTTTTCCTGTTGATGTTGGCATTGAAGTCATCAAGTACTATGGAGTGCTATTTTTTTTTTCTTGCTTCTTGTAGCCACATATTTATTATATTGTGAGTTGTGTTAGATAAGCTAGAGTTATTTAATAGCAAGTATATAGAAATTACTTGGAGTTGAGTTTTTGCTAGTAGGTGAAAATCTATGCATAGTGCTATACCAGAATGTGTGAAGATATTGTAAATATATGGCTATAGTTGAGGGAGTAATGCTATAGCAGTTTCCAAACTTGCTTCTTGGGATGCATACTGAGAAGGTAGATAGTTAGCTGTATATATTTTATAAAGAGGGTTAAATAGAGCTATAAGGTTTTAGTTTTTTAGTTTGGTTTTAGTGATCAAAATTATATAGTAGTTGTTTTGTATACAGAATTCTAGAAAAAGCTAGAATTTAAAATTGTCATTTAGTCCTGAATATTGTAAGTAACTATATTAATGTGGTTGATTATATCTAATTGTCAAGTTTGTGGATTTGGATTGTTGTTAGTTGTTGGAGATGGGGTCTGAACTTATATATAAATATAATACTATTATTAATGGTATAATTTAGAGGTTCTATGGTTAAATATAAATAAAATATCAAATATAAATTAAATGTAAGTAAAATAAATTAAAATAAATATAAATTCAAATTATATTTGAGAAATTATCTAAATAATTGTATAATTTATACCTGATATTTTTTTATTATCTATTTTTACTATTTGTATTTAGTTATCCTTTTTGACTATCTTCTTGGCTATCCTCTTGATTTTTCATTGGCTTTTAATTATTTTGTTTTTTTTGAAGTGAAAACTAGTTGCACAGTTCTTTACACTTTGTTATTTTAATCATTAATTAATTTTTTTTATATTTGATCATTTTAAACATTTTTTTGCACTTTGTTATTTCGATCATTAGTTAAAGTTTCATACACTTTGTTATTTTGGTCATTAATTGTTGTTCTTTGAACTTGGTTATTTTGATTATTAATCAAAGTTCTTTGTATTTAATCATTTTGATTATTAATTAAAGTTCTTCAATTTTGATAATTAATTGAAGTTTCTTGCACTTTATCATTTTGATCATTATTTGAAGTTCCACAAATTTGGTTATTTTAATTATTAACTAAAGTTCTTTGTACTTGATTATTTTGATTATTAATTGGAGCTTCTCATACTTGATTATGTGCTTGGTCATTTTGATTATTAATAGAAGTTCCTTGCTCTTGATTATCTTGTTTATTGGTTAATATTTTTTGCAATTAGTCATCTTGTTTATCACCTTGTTTATTAATTAACTGTTGTCTACTTTGTCTCTTTTTTGGTTTAGAAGCAGAATTTATATATATATATTAATACAAGAAAGAGTATTATAAATTAGTAAATAACTATTTATATATTTGTATTGATTTCTATTCTTGCTTGTAATAATATAAGACTTATAAATTCCTCTATAAATAACATACTAATAGTGTTTTGTGATCTTGTTTTGACAGAGTTTACTTGCTTATATAATACCAATGTAGTTTTTTTTATAAGCTTTATAAAAAAAGTTTATATCTTGTAAGATGTTTTGTAAAAGAAATTTTAAAATATATTACTTTATTTACACACTTACAAGTGTTTTTTTTTCTAGAAGCTATAGTAATTTGGAAAAAAAAACTTCTTGTACAATCGTCCTCCTTTATAATCACACTATTTGTTTTATATAAAAAAGAAGTGATTATAAAATTTTAATAGTAATATGATTATTTAGAGTTTTTTTAATAAATATATTATCAATAATTTTTCAAAAAATAGTGCTTATAAAGAAGGTGTAATTATATAGGAGGTGATTGTAAAGAAGAATGACTGTAAAATGTTTGTAAATATATATTGCCAGAAAATATAATGCTATTGTTATATATATAGCTTGATATTATTATATTAGATTATTTATTGTTAATATGTAATACTTGCTTTTAATTACTCGCATAGTCAAAATTATGTTGAAACAATTATAGTTTATATTGTAACTAGACTCAAATATGCTATAATAATTTTAGTAATATAATATATATATATTTATTATTATAATTTAATTTTAACTATCAAAGTTGATAAAATTTCAATAAGAGTAAATTTTTACTTATATTGTCTATAAAATGATCAAAGATAACTTCTTATTCTTATTGCTATATTAACATAGTGAAATTATATACTACTAAACAATACAAAAAAGAATTATCTGAAATAGTTCAAGACCAGTTGCAGAGAGTTAATATAATAGATATTGCTGATATGGATATTTCAGAGTATGGTTTCAAAAAATGCAGTTTAATTGAAGTAGCAGATAAAAAAATAAATAAAATTGAAAAAACTAATAAAGATGAAATTAATAAGATTAATGAAGAAATCGGTATAGTTTATGAAGAAATTGATGAAGAAATTGATGAGACTGGTGAAGTTAATGGTGAAACTGAAGAAATTGAAAATTTGATAGATGAGGTTCAAATATTTTAAATATTTATTTATATGCATATTAAAAAATTTTTAAAATTAGGTTTGTAAAATAAACCTGTATATATATATATATAAATAATTTAAGGAGTAATTAACAATAATAGTACTTACAATTTAAATTTAATTTTGTATTGTTATTATTAAATCTGTAAGTACTCCTTAAATTATTTTTATATATATAGGTTTTGCTTTACAAACCTAATTCTAAAAATTTGCTAAATAAGTATATCAAATAAAAATATTTTTTTTTTCTTTACAAAGAAGCTAAAGCAAGTATTTCCAAGTTTTTTATATAAGCTATTAGTCAATATTGTATAAGAAAATTTAACAAATAAAATTTTAGAAGAATTTTTAGAATTTAGTAAGTTTGATGAAAAATATAGACCATATTTTTTAAATTTCACATTGACAATACTTTATATATGAAGTACCAAGCATACAATATATATGTACATATATAAATTATATATTATTTTTAAATTTAAAATTTATTTCTTTTTGAATTTAGAATTTGAAACTTTATTTATAATCAACTAAAAAAACTAGTTAGATCACTCTATTTAAATCTAAATACTAATATATAATATAAAACAATATCTGTTTATATTTACTGTTTAGCAACTAGTATATATAAAGATCTTACTAAAATTATTACATATTCTAACTTTTATACTGAAGAAGTTAATACAAATATTTGGCATATTCATAAATAAAGATATAGATTATCTTTAGTCAAAGTATATCAGCATGATGTATTTATTTGCTAACAAAAAACACTATCTATAATAGTATCTACTAAAAAAGTATTTACTATATCTTCTTTGGCATATTTGAAACATTTATTGAATAACCCAAAAATTATGTCTAAATTATATTTTAGGCCTGGTATAGTCAATAAAAAAAAATATAAATTTTGGCATAAGATCTTTGGCAGAATTCTTCTTTGTTTAGTGAATATAAAATAATATGTAATAATAAAAATAAATATAAGATGTTATTTAAAAGCTTTTAGATTTAATTTATTTGTATATTTATTTTTTAAATTTTTTAAAAATTGTATCTAATTAGAAATCTATAGGCCAGATAATTTTTTTATATAAAGAATTATTTACTAACTTTATATGTCATTTAAGAGGTATAGTAGATAACATAATAAATAAAAGTTATAAATTAAAAGTGGACAGGCTTGTGCAATATCATAATCTCCCAAATTGCAAATCAGATAGCACTTACCATACTTATAAAAATAGCAAGAAACTATGGCTTGTAAAAAGTAATTCAACCTTGTAAATCTAGAAAATATTTATAAATCTATTAATGTGTAGTTATATGATTTATCTGAATCTAAAAAATATAATTTTTATGTTCAAAAAATCATATATCATTTTAATAACTACTAAAAATATCATAATATATCCAAAAAGCATTATTTGCCTTGTAAATATATTATAATTAGACAACCACTATGGCCAATACCTATACTGAAAGTGTTTATCAATCTGTATTATAACAGTTTTAGAACTTATAGAAATGTATACTACTTCTTAGATAGTATATATTTACAGTTTAAAAATATATTATATTCTGATTAGAAATTTCTAAAAAATCATTTTTTAATAAGATTTATTCTATTTGAAGATAAATTCAATGACTTTATATAGCCAATTATTAAAGATATTTAATACTTAAAAAATAGGGTTACTATAAGTACTCTATATAGAGAAGCATAGGTTGTAAATGATATTAGATGTATTATATCTGATCTGCCTCAAGGTAACAAATTTGCAGGTATGAAGTGGCATAGTGCTAATTAGGGTTGTAGAACTTGTAATATTATAAATAACTAGCAGACTAATTTAAACTATAATTACCTTAAGCACACTTACTTTTAATAACATACAAGTCACTTTCGATATAACGGACTCTTGATATAGTGGAGACTAAGTAAAATCTCAATATAATGGATCAAGGTTCAGATCCACATCATAATAAATACTACTTGATATAATGGATTTACTAATAAAACTCACGATAAAACGGATTTTAAAAAATTCCTCACTATGTTCCCGAGGTACTACGTTATATCGAGAGTGACGTGTACTAAGAAGCAGTTGTTAGAAATTAAACAACAACAATCAAAAGTATATAAAAAATAATTGGCTACAATCTATGGGTGACATCCTTTGAACTCTTTAACATGTTTAAATAGAATTGTTATATCCAAATCTCTTAAGACTATTACTACTTAATAGCTAGAAAAGCTCATACTTTGTTAGATACTATCCCTTAAACCGTATTCCAGACAAATTTGCCTGGAATTTTAAAAAGTATTTATAATTTTTTAAATAAAATTA